AATTTCTTGAGGTCCAAGAATGTCAAAACAGTACAGATATCCCCCAAATGACCCCTTTTTTGTAAAGCAGACAGTCTGACGTATTTCATAAGAGCCAAGAAGAGTTTTTTGAAGTTGTATTTTTTGTCATCATGTTTCGGAAAATGAAAAAATTTAAAAAAAATATTTTCACTATTTTTTTTTTTTTACATACCATCACCAGTTCAGTACAGCGTCATCATATAACTGGCATGGCGGTGATCAGGGACACTGACTGGTGACAGTATGAAAAAAATATATAATTTTTTTTTTTTTTTATTATTGTTAATTTTTTATTACATTTTTTTTTATTTTTTTTAAAGATTTTTTTTTTTCATATTTCACTATGACCAAAGTAGTATAATGTTACATTGCACTACTATGGGGAAGTGATCAGTATTTTTTTTTTTTACACAATTTGCTTATAGCAAAGAATTACTTTGCTATAAGCAAGCATTTACCTGAATGACATCGATTAATTCAGGGTTTTTTTTGTGGGGTTTTTTTTTTTTTTTTTTTGTGCTTAGCTGTGATTTGATTTGACATGTGCATGTGATTGCTGTGACCATTCACAGCTAGACACTAGTATACAATGGATGGCATGAAGCCATCCGTTGTATACAACTGTCATGTGACCTACTGTGATAGGTCACATGGTACCGGCAACGGGGCCAGTACTCAGATCTGTCATCGGCCGTGTCCGAGGTACATGGCCGGTGACAGATCGCGCCACTGCGCGGCTCTGCAGGCACGCAAACTGCGCATGCTCGGGAGGACGCCATATGGCGGCATGCTCGGGAGGACGCCATATGGCGGCATGGCTCGGGAGGACGCCATATGGCGGCATGCTCGGGAGGACGCCATATGGCGGCATGCTCGGGAGGACGCCATATGGCGTCCACCCGGAACGCTGAAGGATTTTGCCAGCTGCCAAACGGCTATTGGCCTGGCGGCTAATGGTTAAAGGAGACCGTTGCAGAGACTACCAGGACTTTGGTCCCAAGGGGGTTAAATCCCAGGTGAAGGAGGCTTCAGTGGCAGCAGAGGGAAATTGGCAGGTGTGTAAAGGAAGTGGAGAGAGAGAGAGACTCACAGGCTGTGAGGCAAGTGGAAGCTCTAGGACAAAACTGAGACACGAGCTGTTGATCCCCCAATGTGGCCTGCTTGCACCCTTGAATGGAGGAGCCTAACCCCCTATATGGGACCGAAGATTGTGGTAAGCCTCTGAAACCAGCTTTTGGGACTGTTTTATAGACTTTTGCTGAAGTAAGCTGTCTTTTGCTTTTCATGAACCAAATAAATGAACTGTTTTGCTTTTACCAAACTGGCTGGTGGTCGTTCCCGAGCTATCCCATATCACAGCTTGTGTGTGTATGTAGGTATAGATAGATAGATATATATATATATAGATCTTATAAAAATGAAAGCAGTTTTAACTGCTTGGTGTTAATGAAATTCACAACAGGTGCACTAAATGGGCAACAATGAGATAACCCACAAAACAAGAATGGTTTTACAGGTGGTGGCCACTGACATTTTTTTCCCTAGTCATCTTTTCTGACAGTTTTCACTAGTTTTACATTTGGCTAGGGCAGGGCTTAAAATTTCAAGTCCTGAGCTACAAGCTAGGCCTTAGAGTTACTCGCCATCAACAAACAGACACCTCTACACACACACAGACATGTACATACACACACAGAAACATGTACACACGCACAGAGACACATGTACACACACACACACACACACACACACACACACACACACACACACACACACACACACAGACACATGTATATACACACAGGCATGTACAGATACGCATACACACAGATACATGTACATACACAGAAATACACAAGCACAGACACATGTACATACATACACAGACACATGTACAGAAACACACATGTACATACACACAGACACATGTACAGTTGTACATGCAGACACACACACACACATTTACACGTACCCCCCCCCCCCGCATCATAAAAAGTTGCAGTACTTCGTTGTTCACTCACAGATCTAGGTACTGCACTCTAGGGGGAGGCAGAGAGCACAGCACACACTCTTTGCTTTGCTTTCGATGCGCTCAGCTATTGAGCAGTCTGACGGCTCCCAGTGCCAGTGACAGATCTGGCCTGAGCTTCTAGCCTGCTCAGCAAGATGGCCCTGGGGGACACACTCGCCCCAACCATAATTTACACTCGCCATTGGCGAGTAGACAAGTGGAAATTTCAAGCCCTGGGCTAGGGTCAGTGTCACTACTGGTGATACCTGGACCCTTAAAATTATATATGTGTAAATTCTGCACTCAGGTGCAACAATCAAAATTAGCAGCTAGCACTAAGCGTAATAATACAAACTCTGAAAATACTGTAATAACATTTCAGCGCTTCTAAATACCAAAATAATAAAAAGTGCAAATCTGTGCAAACTGATATAAAACAAATATAGTGCAAACCAAAAATTCCCATAAAAAAAGTCTACCATATAAAGTGCAAATCCAGTGCCATTTTCACAGGAAGAAATGGAATAAGTTCCTCCAAATTAGTGTGGATCAGAGCATAACGCTTCCTCCAATCCACCACTATATATGTGAATACACCCTTATCAGATGATAAGACCACCAGTTAGGGTATGGTCATACAAGCTTCAAAACAGTCTACACTTGGGATATGCATCTTGAATGACAGGGTTTCTCCCCAACGTAGCATCTCAAGGATATTGGTTCTCCTATACTGAAAGCCTGTTGTAACGAAAGTGTCACTACCAAGACCTTTCTGTCCATCAACAGTCAGATTCAGACCTGAGGTGACCTGAGCCAATGCAAGGCCATGGAAGAATGGCACATAACTGTAGTACTCCAAGCACCAGCAACATCCACAATGCAGTCAGATAGTGACACCAGCTTGCTTTACTTCAGCTTGTCTGCCATCCGTTGTCTCATTAGGAGCATGCCCCAACGTTGTCAGCATGTAAACATGCACGTGGGGGTCATACAAACTACTAAATACCATTTTGAGTTGCTACAATAAAACTACAGCAAAATATACAAGCTTGCTGCATCATTTTTTTCACTTTGATTTTCGTGGTGTCTTTGAATTCAGTTCTCTGTAGGTTGATCATTTTTCATTTCCATCAAACGATGGGGCATCCTTACGTAGGAACACATTACGCAGTCCATATCAGTATACAGTCAGGTCCATAAATATTGGGACATCGACACAATTCTAACATTTTTGGCTCTATACACCACCACAATGGATTTGAAATGAAACAAAAAAGATGTGCTTTAACTGCAGACTGTCAGCTTTCATTTGAGGGTATTTACATCCAAATCAGGTGAACGGTGTAGGAATTACAACAGTTTGCATATGTGCCTCCTACTTGTTAAGGAACCAAAAGTAATGGGACAGAATAATAATCATAAATCAAACTTTCACTTTTTAATATTTGGTTGCAAATCCTTTGCAGGCAATTACAGCCTGAAGTCTGGAACGCATAGACATCACCAGATGCTGGGTTTCATCCCTGGTGATGCTCTGCCAGGCCTCTACTGCAACTGTCTTCAGTTCCTGCTTGTTCTTGGAGCATTTTCCCTTCAGTTTTGTCTTCAGCAAGTAAAATGCATGCTCAATCGGATTCAGGTCAGGTGATTGACTTGGCCATTGCATAACATTCCACTTCTTTCCCTTAAAAAACTCTTTGGTTGCTTTTGCAGTATGCTTTGGGTCATTGTCCATCTGCACTGTGAAGCGGCGTCCAATGAGTTCTAAAGCATTTGGCTGAATATGAGCAGATAATATTGCCCGAAACACTTCAGAATTCATCCTGCTGCTTTTGTCAGCAGTCACATCATCAATAAATACAAGAGAACCAGTTCCATTGGCAGCCATACATGCCCACGCCATGTCACTACCACACCATGCTTCACTGATGAGGTGATATGCTTAGGATCATGAGCAGTTCCTTTCCTTCTCCATACTCTTCTCTTCCCAACACTCTGGTACAAGTTGATCTCGGTCTCATCTGTCCATAGGATGTTGTTCCAGAACTGTGAAGGCTTTTTTAGATGTCGTTTGGCAAACTCTAATCTGGCCTTCCTGTTTTTGAGGCTCACCAATGGTTTCCATCTTGTGGTGAACCCTCTGTATTCACTCTGGTGAAGTCTTCTCTTGATTGTTGACTTTGACACACATACACCTACATCCTGGAGAGTGTTCTTGATCTGGCCAACTGTTGTGAAGGGTGTTTTCTTCACCAGGGAAAGAATTCTTCGGTCATCCACCACAGTTGTTTTCCGTGGTCTTCCGGGTCTTTTGGTGTTGCTGAGCTCACCGGTGCGTTCCTTCTTTTTAAGAATGTTCCAAACAGTTGTTTTGACCACGCCTAATGTTTTTGCTATCTCTTTGATGGGTTTGTTTTGTTTTTTCAGCCTACTGATGGCTTGCTTCACTGATAGTGACAGCTCTTTGGATCTCATCTTGAGAGTTGACAGCAACAGATTCCAAATGCAAATAGCACACTTGAAATTAACTCTGGACCTTTTATCTGCTCATTGTAATTGGGATAATGAGGGAATAACACACACCAGGCCATGGGACAGCTGAGAAGCCAATTGTCCCATTACTTTTGGCCCCTTAACAAGTGGGAGGCACATATGCAAACTGTTGTAATTCCTACACCGTTCACCTGATTTGGATGTAAATACCCTCAAATTAAAGCTAACAGTCTGCAGTTAAAGCACATCTTGTTTGTTTCATTTCAAATCCATTGTGGTGGTGTATAGAGCCAAAATGTTAGAATTGTGTTGATGTCCCAATATTTATGGACCTGACTGTAGATATACAGCATGATATTTTCCCTCATTGAGATCTGATGTGTTTTCAAAGTGTTCTTTTATTTTTTTTTTTTTTTTTATTGTTATGTGTGTGTGTGTATATATATATTTAACCCTTTTGTTTACTTATTTTAAGGTGATGATGCTGGCTTTGAGATGAATGTGTATAACAACACAGCCATTCAAACTCCTCACTTAGAAGAGCTGGCCAAGCGGAGTCTCATCTTCAAGAATGCATTCACGTCTGTAAGCAGCTGCTCTCCTAGTAGAGGTGCTATCCTGACCGGACTTCCTCAGGTGAGATCTTGCAGTGGGACAAATGAGTCTGGTTTGTGTTTTACCATAATTTTACATTTTAATGTTCACCTGAAAGGATAACTCCACTTTTGTGACACAAAATTTATATGTACAGGGGTTTATTTACTAAAGCTAAAGGGTGCAAAATCAGGCTCACTTCTACATAGAAATCAATCAGCTTCTAACCTCAGCTTATTCAATAAACTTTTGGCAATAAAACCTGGAAGCTAATTGGTTTCTATGCAGAACTGAGCCTGATTTTGCACTTTCCAGCTTTAGTAAATAAACCCCACAGCTGCTACACAAGTGATATTGTACTTGAATGTTTTTTAAAAAGTGCTTCAATCTGTAGCACTGGAGTTTTCTGTAAAATGCTATACAACATTGCAACCTGGAGGCCTTCTGTACATAGTTGGTGCCCCAGAAATGTAATTTTCTGCTTGTGTGATTGGTTCACTGATTTTCCCAGAAGTCTGGAGTAAGATACAAGTCAGATTTAGGCTACGTTCACACTGAATCCGACTTTGAAATTGTGCGACTTCACTTGAAGTCGCACAATTTCAAAGCCGCACGTCAGTGCTGACATCTGCACAACTTCATGCACAGATGTCTATGCAAGCCACACCTGAAATTGCAAAAAATAGTGCAGGAACTTTTTTTTTTTTCAAATTGGTGCAGCACTGCAAAGTCCAGAGTTACACCGATCTGAGCTGTTCCATTGCGGACAATAGGGTGCGACTTGTCATATGATTTTGAAACTGTCAAATTGCATGACAAGTCACACCGGTGTGAACCAGGGCTTAGGGTCCTTTCTGTTTGCTTTATCAGTTTAGTCATGTTACATCACTTTTCATCAGTTTACATCAGTTTTTCATCATTTATTGCATTAGTTTTATTACACCCACTAGCTGGAGTCCTTAGCCACTTAAGTCCCAAAACCATTTTTTTTTATTTTTGGTTTACATGATTAAATAATAATTTTAGGCCACAAGATTACTTGAAACCCCAAACATACATTTTCTGAAAGCAGACACCCTAGAAAATATATTTGTGGTAGTTCCAATTTTTTATGTCACATGATATTGGCTCAAAGGTTTGTTAAATGGAAAATTTTAGTAAAAAAACACACACTAAAGTTAATTTTAGGGCATACAAAGAAAATAATTTACCTAACTGGTAAAATGTAAACAATGAAGTTGCACAGATTTAAAAGAAAAAGCATTAAAATTGCGTGCACCTGTGAAACAGCGAAAATTTAGCATTGCCATTGAGCCCTGGTGCTAAAATCATTGATCTTGCTCTGGCGTGTGCAGTACTATGTAACGTGTAGCACAATTGCTTTTTTTTTTTTTTTTTTTTTCTATGTAGGTGCCCCAAAGCATGCATTTTTGTATGTATATCTGCATATGTGGGGGTGGCGGAGGATCAAATTTTTTTTTTTTTTACTTTTTCATGTTGTTGTCTTCAAATTAAGAAGTCCACACAGAAAATTCATAAGACAAATATGTTGTCTTATATCAATGATGGAGGACGTAAGACCAGGGTGTATATTTATATATGTACTTTTCCCGCAGAAATAACAGTTCTTTTCCAGAGAGATACATTTATTCAGATAAAGATATTTGTTACAGATGACAGAAATCCAGCTGTATACTTGTAAATATTACAATGAACAACAACCCTCAAAGTCCCATTTAAGATATTTCATATTAAGCATAGAGATACTACACCATCCAGCATATGTCCAATCTATAATATGCACCTACGTAGCTTCCATGCATGCAATAATGTGAATTATGGCCTTTTCCTGTGCTCCCATAGTAATGACAGGAAAAAGCTCCTCTTCCAGCCAAAATAACTTCCCTTGAAATACAGTTTACTGGAGGGTTTCCGATTGGCTGACAAAACACTTTTGATCTTACATGAAAAGACTTCACTTGTAACAATTAAGTTCACTATAGTGTTTACCAGATACACAAGTCATTCCTTTCACCATATAATACACCTTGGAGTCTAATTACCATCAATAAATACTTCTTGTATGGTCAAATCACAAATACCCTTTGGAATGTCTAATTAGATAAACAGGCTATTCCCGAAATACCAGGTGACCATGCATAAAATTAACATAGCAAAGAGTTCTTTTAATGTGTAACATGGTTTTGTCACTGCCCTGTCCCAGAATGAACAGTTATGTGTTTCTATATATACATTACACACAATATACTACACTTGTCTTTTGAAGTTTTTTTTTTTTTTCTTTTTTAACTTATGATTGTATTGATATCACATAGGGGATAGGGCAGTGTGACAGACCCAACCAGGACAGGGGCTTTTGGAGGGGACTGCAGGCTAGCGTCTTGCCTACTGACCATCTGAGGGGGCTTTATTCTTTGGTGTGTGCCTGGGGGGAACCTTTGGAGTAGTTTACTTTGTATTCAAGTCCATGTCTCCCCAAAACACACACTCTGAAAACTGGAGGACCAAGATACAGATTTGGGGTCTCTGTGCCCAAACCAGCATTGACTGCTTCAACCCCCCTCCTTCTTAGACTCAGAGACTCTAAGAAGACATAATCAGCTCACAACAAACCCAGGACTCTTGCTCTAATCTATTTATTAAGGTATTATGTGTTTTTCCACGATTGTGTGCCTCCTAGGTGTGCATTTCATCGTTAATTGAGTCCCCTATTGTTTGTTGACAGGTCCTCTTGGAGGCTCCTGCCTGTTGAAATTAGACTGATGTCAGCTTTACATCATTATCTAATCAGTGTGGAATGATTATCCTAATGTGTAATATTTGTGGTATTTGTTTCATGTGGGCACTGCCCCTATTTCTGGAGTTTATAAAAATCTGTATTTTCTGTTCAATAAAGAGTACCTGTTTAGCATCTAAACTAGTCTTGTCTAGTCTTGGGTGCGATGCCTGGCTATAATATATTGGTCCTGTGTCCCAGTGGCGAGAAAGCGGTTCTCTGACGGAATCACCCAATTGGGGTGACAGGCGTTCCGTCACAGGCAATGTTTGCAAGGAGAGCGGCAGGAGAGGAGAGGTGTATACAGTGAGGGGGCAGTGTGTACAAAAAGGCACCCTCACTTTCTGGCACTAACAATTATTGCTGGCTTTCAGTGTAATTGCTGGCTATCAGCTGTCATTTGGAGCTGCTGCTAAAGTAAACAAAGTGGCAGGGCCAAATGACTGCTCATTCTCTGGCGCAATTACACTTAAATTCGGCAATGACAGTCAATGACAGCAAGTGAGGGTGTCTGTCTGTACACACTGCCCCTGACTGTATACCCTGCTCTTCTCCTCTCCTGCATCTCTGTGCACACTGCCCCACTTGTCAGCAGTACACCCAGTCCCCTCCAACCCCCACCCCATAGCTGCCTTTTTTTTATTTTTGTTTATTTTTTGCTGTCAGCGAGTATCTCTGCTGGCAGCAGTGATGTGTCACTAGTTGCTAGGACGTTGGCAGGTACTGGCTCCTAACAAAAACATTGTAAAATGGATGCAAAGATGGACTGTTTGTCTATTTACATTCATGTATTCTTTTTCTGTTTTTTTTTTTTTTTTTTTTTTTTTTTTTTTTGGAATAAAGATAGGGCTTTGATCCGTTTATAAAATGGATGTGGACAGATGCAAATGTAAACGGATGTTAACAGATAATCATCAGACTTCAAAGGACATAGTAGAATACACAGCCTTTTCCTTGGATCAGAAACTGGTACAACCTTGCTACCAGTTTGTTAAAATCCTTGTACATAGATCACCGAGAGAGGATTGTTTTGTTGTCAACAAAAGTGGGGTTACTTTTTAGGAGAACCAATCACCCACGGGCCTTTGTAGTATTAGGCTGTATGGCCACCCCAGCTCCTGCTAAGCTCAGTGCTGTTAACAAGCATTCTGAAAACTGTCATGCCAAGGTTTTTTTTTTTTTTTAAAGAAAAGTAAAGATTATGCTATTTGGCAGTTTTACCCTGCTCCGTAGTAGACCATAGAATGTCATGTATAAGCTTAGAGGTACATGGGGACTTTAGAGCTCGAATTTAGGATAACATGTTAACAGGGTGTAAGGGACCACCTGGCGGCACCTCTAGCAGCCCACTGATCAGGTTTCCCCAGAGCGCGGAGTCTAAGTCCCGGATCACTTGTTCACCAGAGCCCCTGATGGTGGGGATGGACTTGGAGTGTACCGAGACCAGGTCGCGACTACCGGATACACCCACCAGTGGTAGAGGTGTCCACCAGAGGCTCCCGCAGGGTGAGAGCCTGATGTGAGGAGGCCGGGAGATCCCGGTGGGATGGATGGATGAGCAAGTGCACAGTCAGACAAGCTGAGTTGGTAGCCAGGGGTCGGTGCGGTACAAGAAGCAGGCAGAGAATGGTCGGGTCACACGCCAGGTCAGTAACAGGAGGTCAGATCTATAGAGGGGCATTCAGGTGCGAGGTCAGGCAAGCCAGGGGTCAGGATAGGAGAAGTCAGCAAAGTCAGGCAATCTGGGTCAATAATACTCACAATACAGGTTCAGAAACACAGGTAGCAGGGAAAGACCATTCGGCAACCAGTGACAGCACAGGGGAGATTTAAATACCGTGCCCTGCGCTGTCATTGGTGCCCGTTGCGGACGCTAGTGCGCATGTGCGGACTCCGTCGCCGCGGCTGGCCGGGACCTAGTGCCCGCATCCCTGCATGAGACTGCGCCTGCGCCGGGACCAGCGTCGCGGCGATCCCTGACACAGAGAGACTACAAGTTACTTCTCAGAGATAGCTGTAAGACTCCATTGTTATAACAACTCAACTGTGTAAAAAAAAATTCTTAACTTTATTTTCTAAATGGTTTAAATATAAATAGTATAGTGTCAGTGAAAAACATGAACCTGTGTGCATGTGTTACTGGAGAAATTTCTCTAATATTTTAGAAGATTATGATTGAAAATTATCAAAACTCTTGGAGGTGATTTGATCTGAAATAATGTAGTAACCAGGGAAGGATTGGGAA